TTCTGACTGGAGCCCTACGTCTAGTTTCTGAGATGATCGAGTGCGTATTCCTCGCTTGAATGCTCAGAAGTTCTTAAATGGGGGGTGTAAGAATGGTGGAAAAGGTAGAAGAGCTAGAGCTAGGAGACGGGTTGCCCGAAGGGAAGCTTCAGGAGCCCTTCTACAGTGTAAGAGTGAGTGAATGAGTTCAGATCCCCCAGATGGGTGTCCTGGCTGCCCTTATATAGAGTTCAGGGCCAGGGCATGTACAAAGAAAAATGTTCTCCCGACCAAAGGGTCATGAGCCTGAGGGAGGACCTAGCTAACTTGGCTTGCAAGCTACGTCATCTTGTGGTGCATGTCTGAGCGTGGTTATCATCACGGTCCTGTGGCCATGTCGTGGCATGGTGTGGCATAGTGCTACTATGCCGGCCGTGGTGACACTATAGGCACGGTGGTGGTTCGTCAGCTGTCCTATGCGACGTGGTCTCCGCTGTGGTCTTCATCATCGCCTCCCTGGTTTCCTAGGGCGTCGTACAAGAGTTGGTATCCGCTCCTAGGTCATCGATCGTCTAGTTAGCTTGTGGAGTTGGTGGCCACGATCCTGATCGTTGGGGTCATGGCGCCCACCAGTCTGGATGGCATCTAAGTCAAGGCCCTCATTGTGGATCCCATTCCGCAGTGGGTGGAATCATACTTACGTCTTGTTGGTCCATATTTCGACAGTGGGTTGCCATACTGACAGCCACCGTTGTGTGGTGTTGTCTTGTTCATGCTATGTGGCATAGGGATAGCGTTTGATCGGACCGAGGTGACCGCTGTCCCCTCGGTCCTTGAGGGGTTAGTGCGGCGTATCTACTCTTTTCAGAGCAGGCACGCTTGGTCAGGCTCGACCCCTCCCCATTCCTCCCAGGGGTTGGAGCGGTGGGGAGGTCGTGAGTCTCTTGCGCATCGTGTGGCAAAGTCTAATGAAGGGGTCGTGGCCAACCCTAGCCTTAGCGCTTGGCCTGGTTTTCTTGGATCAGTTGGGCCTCGGTCGTCCGGGCTCTTGCTGGCTGATATATCATGGGTCGCTCGGCCTATTAACTAATCGGTGCCTTGAGACACCCCAGGGTTATAACTCCGACAGAAATGTTTTAATAACACTTCAAATCCTATAGGTTTTTAAATGCCTTTTGAAGCAAGGTAGGTAAAGCACATGAAACAAAACAATGAGGTTGGAGCTCATGTTTAGTTTCCTCCAAAATTTCTTCATAATGTTCCAAGCCATAGTAATTTCAAAGGAATTATTGGGAAACATTCCTTTGTCCTAAAGGGCCTCATAGGAATTTTTCCTATAGGATTTAGGTCCTTCAAAATTTCTATATTTTCCCTTCATTTCAAAGGGGGCCTAAATATGGCAAAATGTGACAAAGGTTTGGTCAAACCAAAGAAGCACCGAGGCCCTAATTAGATCCATCCAAATAATAGAACGGAAGTGTGGCTCCTAGACGTCCGGACGGATGCCCGTGCGCTGCACTCCATTTCGCGCTCCACGTGGCCCCACGCCCCTGAGCGCACAAGAGAGGAAGGGCGCACAACGCCTCCCATTTGGAAGGACCCGACTGCGGCATCATATGGATGCCCTGCCAGCACCGACACTACTACACAAATCTTTTCCGAGGCAGGCATTTTTTATTAACGGAGGCGGACATTGCAATCGCCTCTACCTAAAGGTCACGGTTAATCATGGATTAACGAAGGCGGTTACTTTGCATGCCTCGGTTAATCGATTAATGGAGGCGAGCGCCTTAAGGTGACCGCCTCTGTTACCCCATTAACCTAGGCGGACGTCTTAATATGTCTGCCTCCATTAATGTTATCTAGAAAACCCAAAAACCAAAAAAACTTGTAACTTTGGATAGTCAAACCCACGACCTACTGCTCAACACTATCGCATCTCTACCACTACACCACACACTCATTCATGTCTTCTATATATAATTTGCTATCTTTTTATATCAAGATTTTATAATCTTATATTGAATATTTTGGCTATTAAATGGACTCAAATGAAAAAACTTTTAACTACAAAATTTTAAATCTTGTCAAGTACTACAACTTTGGTTTAGGATGTATCTCCATCAGAGATAGTTTGAAAATTTCAAAAAATTTAGTCTCAAAAGATTTGAATTTCAAACACATATTTGAGACTCAAGATGACTTTAAATCAAAAACTTGTCAATATCAAACATGTAGATCAGGTCGGCCACAAGAACTTTGGTATTAACTATGTGAACATTTGAGATCGTTTAGGAATTCTAAATTTTAAATTTCAAAATCTATAACCTTTGAACACATATTTGGGACACTAAACATCTTTAAATTAAAAACTTTTCAACTATAAACTTGTAGATTTTAGTGAGAACTATAACTTTTATATAGACCATGTCAACATCTGAGATTGTTTGATATTTTTAAATTTCAAATTTCAAAATATGTACACTTACAACAATATTTTAGGACCCTAAACAGTTTTAATTCAAAAACTTTACAACTACAAAGTTGTAGGTCTCGTCGAGAGCTACATATTTGATATAAAGTTTGTCTTTATCTAAGTTCATATGAAAAAATTATAAATTATTTTTTTATGCAATCATTAACCGAGACAGACATCTTAAGACGCCCATCTCCGTAAATTGATTTACGGAGGCGGATGCTTATAACGACCGTCTCGGTTAATGCTTATTAACTGATGCAGTTGTTTTAAGTCGACCGCCTCGATTAATACATTAACCGAGGCGATTGCGTTAGGGCAACTGCCTTGGTTAATAAGCATTAAACGAGGCAATTATTTTGTGTTGCCCGCCTTAGTTAAGTTTTTGTGTAGTAGTGCGGAAGAGACGATGCAACAAAAGGTAGGGAGGAGAGATGCAACACCCGATCTACTTTTAAAACACATAAATACAATATTTGCAATATACGTCTGAAGTCACATGTTTATGAAATACTTGAAAAAAACACCTGAAACACACTTGAAAACCATTGCAACCATACGCAATATCTAAATAAAACACATGCAACGTATGTGTGAAACGTATGTAACATCCAAATAAACATATTTGCAGCATGTGTTCAGAAATAACAGATGAAACATACATCTGAAATATCTAAAACACTCAAAACAGACGCTTGCAACATGCCTATGAACATGCAACATGTGCAACATCTATATGAAACAAATACAACATACATCTGAAATGCTTGAAACACTTGAAACATACATATGCAATATAGGGGAGGGGAGGCTGGGCCGGTTGATTCCGACCAAGGGGGGAGCTCGGTCGCTAGGGTGAGAGAGGGCGCTGCCGGGGGTGGGGAGGGTGCCACGCGCGGGGTGGGGCAGAGCCGTCCATTCCCCTACAACACTGTCGCACCACCTCCATGGATCTCGCTCTTGCTCCATGGATCTCGCCGGGGTGGGCGGAGAGGGACACCGGATTCGTGGACGTAATGCGCTCCCGGTGGGTGAGGCCGCCGAGGTGGGGGGAAGGGCGGCGCCGGGCTAGGGGAGGAGGCCGCCGGGGTGGGGGAGCGTGCCGCCACCGGCCAGGGAGGCAGCCATGGCCACGCGTTGGGGTAGGGCCGGGGCGCGAGCGCGGAAGGGAGGAGGAAGCGAGGGACTGAGTGTGGGATTGAGCGAGTGGGGCGTCCTTCCGTTCCGGACGTCTTAATTGGAGCATTACCGATTATAGAATCTAGCATTTGATCCAAACTACATAGGTTGAGGTCTAGCTTTTAGATTCCACGAACTCAACTTGAGATGAGGGCATTTGATTTTATAACCGTTGGATCACTGGCTTGGCTATCAAGATAATTTTTTACACGATGAAACCAGTGATGGTTGAAAAGCCTTGAATGTGATGAAAATGGTAAAGTTTTGAAATTTGACATTGTTGAATCCTAGTATGTCTATGTCATATACTACGTTGAAAGGAAGAGAAAAACTTTTAACAACTCACATTTTTATAAAAAAAAGAGGCAATATCAACAATTCACAAACCTACTAGCTTCCATTTATCCAAAGTGCTCTTAGCTATTGCTCTAGAGGATTTCTGACCGTTGGATGCCCGCCACTGGGTAATTTTTTATGCACTGAAACATGGAACTTGGGAAACCATACAAATGGTAAAAGGAGGAATTCCCTGTGTGCCATTAAAAAATATCGTAATGTCCTGTGTGTCTCTGAAAAAGTTCAGCGGTCTTCAGCGCCACTACTCTAACTTTTTCGTGTCCTTCATGCCACTTCTGTCAGTTTGGGCTCTAACGCTGTCAAAATGCAGGTGTGAAAAGACAAAAATACCCTTAAGTCTAAATATATTATTAATTTTTTTGAGCATCTTAACGACTTCAAATGAAAAAACTCAAAATTAGAAAGTTGTAGATCTCGTCGAGATCTATAATTTTCATATAAAAATTATTTTCATTTAATTCCGCAAAAAAATAATATGATTTTTCTAAGATATATTAATCATATCAAATCATAATTTTTTGCGGAATTAAATTAAAATAATTTTTATATGAAAATTATAGATCTCGACGAGATTTATAACTTTCTAGTTTTGGGTTTTTTCATTTGAAGTCGTTAAGATACTCAAAAAAATTAATAACATATTTAAACTTAAGGGTATTTTCGTCTTTTCATACTTACAGTTTGACGGCATTAGAGGCCAAACTGACGGAAGTGGCATGGATGATATGAAAAAGTTAGAGTAGTGGCGCGGAAGACCGCTGAATTTTTTCAAAGACACATAATGTATTACGATCTTTTTTAATGGAAGACGGGGAATTCTCTCATGGTAAAATGGGGAGTAGCCCGCTAGCCCACGTAAGCACGGTTTCAGTTCAAAACCATTCTCCACTGTTGCTCCTGTCCTCTCCCTCCGCTCCCTCTCTCTCGTCGTCTCCCCATCTCCGGCTAGGGTTTGCCGTTCCCACCGCGTCCGACGTCTACCTCGCCTCCGCCGCTGCCGGGACCAAGGATGCCGCGAGAGCAAGGTGTGGAGGAGCCGACGCCGCAGGCGGAAGGCGAGGCACAGCCGGCCGCCGATGCCCCCATGAGCGAGGCCGCGGCGGCGGAGGACGAGGAGGAGGAACCCGTCATGGGGGAGGGGGAGGGCGGTGCAGACGGGGCCGCCAACGCCGTTGATTCCGTCAAGGCTTCAGTGAAGCCCGAAGCAGAGGGCGCGGAGGAGGGGGACATGGAGGAGCTGAATGGTGGCCCGACGGCGGATTTGGTTGGCGAGGTTGTGAAACTGGAGAACGGGGATGGGCCCGTGACGGTGGGTGGCTCGGCGGATGAGGCTGGGGCTGGAGATGGCGGTGATGATAAGGGCCTGGTTGGTCAGAATCAGCCTATTGTGAACCAGCTTGTGCTGGTGCCGGCTGAGGAGGATCTGGCATTGACCAAGATCTCAAATAATTCCTTCATGTTCGATTACACCACTGGTGGTGACGACTCGGGGACTGAGGAGGAGCAGGCTGCCTTCATGAAGGAGCTCGAGCGTTTCCACAGGGAGAAAATGTTGGAGTTCAAGCCCCCAAAGTTTTATGGCGAAGGATTGAATTGCCTCAAGTAAGCACACAAACCACAAAACCTTATTTTTTTTCCTGTAATTACTCATTGTCCTATGACCACGCTGAATTAAGTAATTGTATCTTTATTGTCATTAGATTGTGGAGACAAGTTACTGGATTGGGTGGCTATGATCAGGTACTCGTCTTCAATATTATGCCTTTTAGGTTTGTTGAAGAAAACACAAATGATTCTATTCGTATGGGAATGGTTGAATTATGAGTTCTATTTGCATCACACATGTTCGGTCATTAATATTTTTTTTCTGCTAAAAATGAACACATGCCAGGAACATGTCTGTAGCAAAGCGCCTCTTGCTAGAGTTTTAATCCTGAATTTCTCACCCTATGTGCCTTTGCTTTTCTATGTTGGTACTTAGCTTATCATACTCATCTAACTTTGTACCTCAAGGATGAGTTATGAATTTTGACTAGCTTGCCCAATTTTGTTTACATATGTTTTATTTGACCATTAGATTATCTTAATTTTACACTTTGCACAAAACGTGTCAGCACTATTTTTATCTGATTTCTGATTTCTCCCTTTTCTCTTCCAGAGTCGTACAAAACCATCATATTAATTGATCATACTGTTCAAGATTATCAAGTCGTTCGACTAATTGCAATTAGTCGGTATCGGTGCCATGGTGATCAGTTATGCACTACGATTAGTTACTATTAGTCCCGATTAATTACGAGTAGTCGTGATTAGTCGGGCTAATCGGTGCCATGGGGACTAGGGTGGATTAGACGATTCAAAACATTGATGCTGTTATCTTTCTTTGGCATGAAATATGTTTAGCCATTCACCTTGTTTGTAGCATTTCGTGTCCATGTTAAAATCTTCTAGTCGATGTTCAAAAAGACTACTGTGTAGCCTGCCTATGAAACGCTAGTGCTCCTGTCTGACTCTGAGAGTCAGTGATGCACCATCCCTGCTCTTGTTACCCTGGTTGGCACTGTTTTTTTATTTAAATGTATAATTTACACTTTACACAAAGAACGCTATATAATAAAAGCAATGGTAAAGATCTCAACAAGGAACCAAAAATTAACCTTTATAAGCATGAGTATTTCTATCTGAGAAAGCACCATTTGCAGATTAAATAGCTATACTGCTAGTAACTTTTAGTGATGAAATGTAACCATGGTGTGTTTGTAGACATAAACTAGCAAATATGGTTTGCTTAAGTGGGAAAGTTCTCTCTGTGTTGATATTCTCTACCAAATTGATGACATAATTTTTCCCTTGTCATTTAATTTATTTTATTTCTTTGTGTGACTCTAAAATATATCTGTTGATTTGTGGTCGTGACTATTTCCCCCCTGTTTCCTGGAAAGTGGTTTTGGTTGATTAACTTTGCTGTATGGGGGAGGGGGAGGAAGAGAGATATTTTGCCTCATATGCTTGCTAACTAGTTGCATCAACACTGAACAGGTGACATCATGCAAGCTGTGGCGTCAAGTGGGAGAGTCATTCAAACCTCCAAAGTATGACTTTAATAGTCTGCAACTCAATTGATGATCCTCAATTGTCATTTTAACAGACACTGGGACATAGTTCACATAAGCTCTTCTTTCTGTACTCTATCCCATGATGTGACTTGCATGTTTTTATGTAGGACATGCACAACTGTTTCATGGACTTTCCGTAACTTCTATGAGAAGGTAATTTTACATTCATGGTTCCTGGGATACCTGTACAGCCTTTATAGCTTCTAGTTTCAGCACTGTTTTAGCACTTGAGTGTTGCCATGTGATACCTACCATGGCAGTTTGTTGAATAGAAAAAACTTTTCATTTAAGCACATTCTTCGTGAGCATGTCAATTGAGTCTTGGCAGCTCAAGTACATGCCATTATTTAGAAGTTTTACCAAGCTGTTAACATAGGATTATGCCCTAAATCTAATCTAATCTCCTTAATTGGTACAGAGCTGATTAAATTTAAGGTTATATTGTGGATTTCTTAGTGGTAGAATTTGTAGTGCAAGATACTGGCTTTTTTTATCTTTCTTTTCCTCTCTTTTACAGGCACTCCTTGAATACGAGAAACACAAAATTGAAACAGGAGAGTTCCAAGTAGCTTCATCTGCTCTACCAGATCGGATTGGTTCTGAGAGCCAGGTACAGTTTTATGTAGCCTAGTATATAACTTAGCACAAGCTAGTTTCAATGCGATGAAATTCATTTTGAATAAAGATCTGTGATATTTCCATTTACTCCCTCCGTCTCAAAATATAAGGCACAATTTGACTTGGTGCGGTTTTCAAGATCGCTCTTATAATATAGTTTAATTTGTGGCAACAAAAGTTTGGTCAGTAGAGAGTATTTCTAAATACAAATCCATTGTAACAACTTTTGTACTTTAAGATTTATTAAGAGTAAAGTCCGCCGGCGGTCCTCAAACTTGTTTGGCTGTGTCATCCCGGTCCCTAAACTTGTAAATGACCCGTTTAGGTCCTTAAACTTATTCGTCTGTGTCATCCCGGTCCCTAAACTCGCAAATTGCATGTTTAGGTTCTTAAACTTGTTTAGCTATGTCATCCTAGTCCCTAAACTCACTAACCGCCTATTTAGGCACTCAATCTCTGTTCCGATCTAAATGGGTGATTTGCGAGTTTAGGGATCAAGATGATAGCTGAACAAGTTTGAGAACCTCAACGGGTGATTTGTAAGTTTAGGGACCGGGATGATACAGCTGAATAAGTTTAAGGACAGCTAGTGGACTTTACTCTTTAAAAGCTTTTCATATGATTAGACTAATTGTTGGTCGAAGATAACAAATTTTGAGTTTGAGATATGTGCACACCTTGTATTTCGGGACGGAGAGAGTACTTCTAAGTGCTGACAGGATGTTCATGCAGTTGTGCTAAAACATGGGAAAGATATGCAAGGAGACTAAAGTTCAGGTTGTATCACTGTATGTTTGCCCAGGTGGGTGGAAGCCATGTATCTGGTTCTGGAAGAGCCAGAAGAGAATCTGCAACTCGTGCAATGCAAGGTTGGCATTCTCAGCGCCTACTAGGCAATGGTGAAATCGCTGATCCTGTAATTAAGGTATTTGTTGCTTTCAAATCAAGGGTTACTAGCGATCTTCATTTTGTTGTATAATAATATTTTTTTATTTTTCCCTAGGATAAAGGGCCAATTGTCTTAAAGAAGGATAAAACTCCTAAAAGCAGTGGTACCTTTCTGCATTCTGTTTCATTTTACTTCCGTTATGCCATTACTTACTAATCGTTGTGAGTGGATTGGGTCTTGGACAGGCCTCTTGATCTCTCCTTGTACCATATTTTTCTTCTTAATGAAATGAATTGCGGCTCTCATGCATTGTTTGAGAAAAAAAAAACTTACTAATCCTTGGATTTGTGTAGGTTCTGCCAAGAGGAAAAGGACACCATCCCTGGAAGATGACAGGGTGATACCTTATAAGTCTGATAAGCTACAGTAAATCCCCTGAGCACTTAATATTCACGCAAATCCTGCATTCCATTTTCCTATCTATTGCTGTTAAAAAAATCAGTAAGAATTGCAACACGGCTTCACACAATTAGCTTCATTCTGTTCTTTTGCATGGATAATAATAGTCCTACGGGGCATAATATCCATTTGAATAACTATTTAGGTTTGGCATGGCACTAGTCCTTTTTCCTCCTTCCTCCTTGGACTTTGATTGATTTGATGAAATATTGCTATCTGGCAGAAATGACTCGATGGTCATTGACATGGGCCCTCCTGCTGATTGGGTGAAAATAAATGTTAGGAAAACCGTGAGTATCTGTACCTCACCTTTATCTGTTGTTAAATCTTATAGCTTTATGCTGCTTCTTATTTGTTTGTTGTTTCCTCATAGTTCTCAGTTCCATTAATTCCTGAAGGAAATTTTGAAGCATTGAAATTGTGCTAGTGAACGTGTGAACCGCTGATTCTTTATGAAATGCATATATCTCAGTTAGGCCTTGTGGTTATTATGGAAATTTTCGTAAAGAATATAGGCTAGCCAGGAATCAGTGAAACTATGATCACTTGAGGGCATTTCGTGAAAGAGATTATGTTTTAGTTAATTTATTTATTTTCATTCAATTTTGTTTCTTTCAGAAAGATTGCTATGAAATCTATGCGTTGGTTCCTGGCCTTCTGCGGGAAGAGGTAAGTAAATGCAAATCGTTTATAATGGTTGGTTATTGTCCTTCAATCATGATCTCCTCTATGTGCTGCAAAAGTTGGAGTCGCTGATGCATGTTTTGATGCAGGTACATGTTCAGTCTGACCCTGCTGGTCGTTTGATAGTTACTGGAGAGCCTGAGCAATTGGATAACCCATGGGGTGTCACTCCATTCAAGAAGGTCTGTGAGCTCTTTGAATTGTATCCTGATGGATGTTTTTCGCTTTTAATGATATACTCCTTGCTGAAACTTGTGCATCCTTTGCAGGTCATTAGTTTGCCTTCCCGCATTGATCCTCACCAAACCTCTGCAGTTGTCACCCTCCATGGGCAGCTATTTGTGCGTGCACCATTTGAACAATCAAAATAATGTTGATGCCACAATGAAGCTCAATAATACAAGTATGCCCTTGTTTTCCAATGGTAGACTGCTAGGTCTATGTTTTATCATTCCGAATCTGAAACTGTCATCTATAAAAATGGATACTAAAATGGAGAAATGCATAGTTGATTATTTTAATAAGATTATACACCTCTGAATTTATTGTTTATTGAATGCAAGGGTTTTCTTTTGTCCTGCTTGTGTTAGGCCCCTAAAATTACAAGATTACTTGTGTGCACACTTGTGGAACCAGCTGTGAACTCGGCACCTGTTTTGTGCTTACCACACCCCTAACCAACTTGTTTCTCTTTCAGGTTTGCCTTATGGGTGGGATTATATTGTTGTGACATGGGCTTAGAGTTCTCACCCTGACCGTCGTCAAAAACTAGTTCCTTGCTGATCCTAATGCTTCAAGACTCTTCCATTCTAGATCTCTCCTGTATCAAGTTAAACTCATTAGTTGACGTAGTTCTGTGTGTATTCGGCTGTGCCCATTGGCTGTGAATTGTAGCTAAAGCAAAGTTACTAAGCCTAGAGTTTAGGATGTTAATAGCCTGATGCTCAACGTGTCCATGGTTTCTTTTCAATTTAACCGGCATAAAGTGTACTGTTTGTAGTATGTAGCTTGTTCCCAGTATTTGAGCTCTGGAAAATGGAGTCAGGTAGATTCATTGTATGTAACTGTTGTCGGTGCATTGCTAATTTGCTATTCAACTTGTATTGTCAAACAGTCTGAACTCTATGCCCCCCCCATATTCCATATTGTGTGACTTTGTGCCTCGGTACTAGCTGAAAGAGGAAGCAATACTGAACACTAAACGACTGCCGAGGACATAGTTATTGATTTTATGTTGCTTTCAGGACAGTACGCTCACAGTTTTGTCGCTCCGTATAAGAACATTCTGTAACAATGTTTCTTTTTAGATGAACCTAACCTATGAATGATGCTTGCAACTGTAGGGGGTTATCTAGATCCGTACAAATTGTTTGCTGTAATGTTCAGTTCTGTTCTGCAGAGCCACGAGTACATGTCGGTGTCATTCAACATCAAAATAGTAGGGTGTGATTGCCTCAGCAGCCATGGGAATGTAATTCAGTAGCACACTCTTTAGTAACCCTGGGTATGAACTGTAATGCGGTTGGACCTGGTACCACATCATGTAGTTGTTCTTGTGTCCAACGATTTGCATGGACATCGTGTTGAATGGAAGTCTTTCATCTAAAAAAGGTAAATAGGGCATGATTGGTTGCTTGGATTCTCGTTGGCTACATCTACGGGATGTGACCTGTTTGTTTGGCTTGCTGCACTAGCACTTGGGCTTGGCTTGTCAACTGCAAAAAGGTCCTCCAGCCTGACTCTGAGGATACGAGGATAGTAGCCGTTTCTCCCATGCTAGGCTTGTGGGATGTGAGTAATTAGCCATCTAATGATGTTATTCATGCATTATTAACACATATTAAATGATATTAACATATTTTTTTATTAATATTAAGAGTAATAAGATAAATTAAGAGCTACAAAATAATAGTTGCACATAGCAAATTTTATAATGATAATTGTTTATATATTTGTTTTATCTTACACGGTCCATCTTAGTACGAGCAACCAAACAACTTCTTAGGGGTAGCCTAACTTTGTGCAAACAATCAAACACCAGAGCATGCACTGAGCCTTGCTACGGAGAGCCTAGCCCCTAGATACGAGCTAGGCTGGGTTCATTCATGAACCAGTCACGCCCTGTAATGTATATATACATATGTAACAACAATGTGCTAGTTTTTGCCCATTTGTGAATACATACTTTAAGCAATATGAAATAAGTCATCAAGCATTAAACATGAAGTACGATTATTATTCATACATGACATGGTGACGCAACTAACAGGAGTGCGATTATTATTCATACACGACATGATAACGCAACTAACAGGCATAAGAAGACATCACTATGAGAACATACATTGGTTTTCCTAAAGGCGATAAGATGACATCATGATAAGAACATATATTGGTTTTCCTAAAGAAGACCACCACCACCTCCTCCTCCTCCTCCTCCTCCACCACCACCACCACCACCTCCTCCGCCGCCGCCGCCTCTGTCGCCACCACGGCCGCCGCTGCCCGGGTTGCCGGGGCGGCCACCGTCGCCGCCAGGGCTGCCGGGGCTGCCACCGCGGCCGCCAGTGCCTCCACCATAGTTACCTCTCTGTTTGTCACCATCACCTCCACCATCAGTACCTTGACCTCGTCTATGACTATAGCCTCCTCCTCCACCGCCTCCTCCTCCTCCTCCACCGCCACCTCCTCCTCCACCACCACCACCACCACCACCACCACCACCACCACCACCACCACCACCTCCTCCTCCTCCCCCCCCTCCCTCCCCCCCTCCTCCGCCCAAGCACCACCACCTCCTCCTCCTCCATCACCACCACCACCACCTCCGCAACCTCCACCGCCACCTCCGCCGTCCTTATTAGCAGCCACGCTACCATGCACCGTGTTCATCTTGTCCCTAAACACCACGACATCGTGTTCCTCCCCAACATCATGCCCAAGGCGCACCACGGAAGCTACCTCCCGCTCCTCCGTCAAAGTAAGCTGCAGGAGCAGCATGCCGACAATGAAGAAGATGACACCGAGCCATGGGGTTCTCTTCCTCACTGACACTGCCATCTTCACCTCACACAAACTCATAGTATGTGTTGCCTATCACTGCAAGGTTGAGGTCGTCATGCATGTTTGAAGGTGGCTTGCAGGTCGGGCTATTTATAGGTTGATGGAGGAGGTTGGGGGGATTTCAGCCATGGAATGCATAATGATAGGGGATTACTGCAGTTAATTATTGTTCCTAAGCTTGATCGACAAGCTGGGGACATGGTGGCATATGACCCGGCGAATCAAACCATGCTAAATTCTTAAGCCCACGTGGTTTCCGTTCCACAATCGTTGTCAGGATCGTTATTGCTCCCACTAATTATTGCACCATGCAGGTTCTGTCAAATATATAGTATATAGTATATATACAGACTGGAGAGGGGCCCCTTCAAGCCCAATAAAACATTAAAACCCCAGCAGAACGGCCGCATGGGCTGGCGTGGTACAACCTGTAGGAGGATGATGCGTACGAGGTGCGCCATTGTATGTAGTCTGTTGAGTCATGTCTGGGTCTCTCAGATGGTGAACCTTCTGAGATACGATCTGTGGCAGCCTGGCAGGTCTAGGTACGTACAAGCAACCCCTTCTCGCTTCCTCCCTGCCTTTCCTCTCTCTGAAATGGTAGAAGCAATGGATTAAAATCGTTTCCGTGCCCTCCCTTGTTTCCCAAAATTTAAGTGGTCATCCTAACTCCAGCCATTTATGTGCTCATGATTTTCCTACAGATTCGTCAGGCAGGTTTGTTCCATTCCACCAGCAGTCCCCAATGAGCCTGCTGGGGCGCATCTGTGTGCTCACGTTTGCAGTTATATTTCTAAATTCAACACTTGTTTTACACTTGCACATCTTTTTGTGGTTCATGAGATATATATATATATATATATATATATATATATATATATATATATATATAGACACACACACAGGACCAATGCAAGAACATCTTGGTTCATAGGTTCAGAAAAAGAAACGACAGCAACATGTTGATGTTAGATTTCTTTTCTATTAGGTTCATGTTTTACAGGTCAGAGAAGACAATAGTGTCAGTTCAATTGAACAGGTAAGTTACCAGATAATAAAGTTGGATGGTATTTATACATGAGAGTGGACCAAAACAAAAGTTGTAGATCTCGAAAAGTTATACAACTTTATAGTTGACAACTGTTTCATTTGAAACAATTTTGTCAAGGAAAACTACGTTTGAATTTCTCAAATTTGAAATTTAAATTTTTCAAATGATCTCGGATGGAGAAACAACCAAAACAAAAGTTATAATCTAGCTAAGGATAACTACTTTTGACCTTTTTAAATTTAAAATTTGAATCTTTCAAACGACCACGGATGGAGAAACATCAAAAGTGAAAGTTCTAGATCTGAAAAACATAAACAACTTTGTAGTTGACAATTTTTTCATTTGAATCATCTAGCTAAGGATAATTATGTGTAAATTTGGTAGATTTAAAATTTAATTTTTTCAAATGACCTCGGATGGAGAAACGACCAAGACCAAAGTTGTAGATCCCGAAAAGTTATACAACTTTGCAGTTGACGACATTTTCATCTGAATCCGTTTAGATTTCCAAACACTCATTTTAAAGTTAGTTGAGCATAATATGAGGAGAAATAATACCTGATATAGACAAAGTGAGTCTGGAGTGGAGTGTTTAGAGGGAGGAACGTGCGAGACTGAGGTCGCGGGTTTGAAACCCAGCGGCCGCGTAGCGTGCGATTTTCATGCGAAAAATGGTGCGACTTGTGACAGGGATGGCGCGGGCGTTTGGCTGCCTGGTGGGGCATTCTAGGATTAAAAAAAATTGTTTTTGCTATTTTTTTGATCTAGATTTGAGAATTCTGGAAAACGGATTTGTAGGAGCGACTCGTTTTTCGGCCGTCCCTACAAATCCTCATCCATCTCTACAAATCGTTGGTGCCTGGGTAGGGACAGCCGCCACAACCACCTCATAGGGTCATGAGCCGCACCTACAAATCCCCTATGTAATAGTGTATGAATGCTCCCCATGTTTTCTGTAATAGATAAAATGTAAATCCTTCTTGCAGTTACTCCTTCTCTTATCTCATTTTGGTGGACATTGTTATGTTATTGCAGATGATGTTCTAGCTAAAGTGCAAATTGACTTGCTAGATTGGAATGTGATCTGATTCTTCGGACCCAACATAACATTAGAGAATCAAATGATCAAAGTGCATACTTAATTTAACGATGAAACAAGCATGTGCAGTGTTTCCAACCTACGTGGGACCAGGCCCGGCCCTGAGGAGGGTGGGGGGTGGGGGTGGGGGTGGGGGTGGGGGGAGGGGCATCGTCCCAGGCCCAGCTCGTCGATGGGCCCCTCCCCAGATATGTATACACTAGTAGTAGTCTAGACGTCTAGTGCTCAATCAGCCAGTAATACGGCAGATGAATCCCCGACTCCCGTGATCACGCACGTAGCACGAGGCGCGAGACGCGACTCGTGACTTCTCCTCTTCGGTGGCTCGACTGTTCGTCTGTTATACTTTCTTGTCATGTACTAGGCTTATGGGCTATGATACTACACAAATGTATGGCTGGTGAGTCGGCCTGGCCCATCTACTGGAACGGGATGACTACAAAAGAGGGGAACAACAGCTGGACAAGTCATCGAACCAGAACTAGAACCCGTCGTCTTCTTCCTTCCGTCAAGAGCCCTTCTTGCTGTACTGCTGTTCTTGCTACCTATCTCTGATCCTTGCTATTCCCAGTCTAATAAACTCCCTCTGATTCTCCAGAAATTGTATCAAGTTACTCTTGTATTTGTGATTGATAGTGGAGGTTTGTAACAATTGGTATTCGGAGCCTTCAATTTGGGAACTCTATTTTTGTCCCCCAAATCGAGTTCGCCATGGCCACTGTGCCGGACCTCTCCGCGTCGCGATCGGGTCTCTCGGCGTATATGTCGAGGTGTATGGAGATGGTTACAGCAGATGAACGACATCTTGGACCGCATGAATGGTGTTTCCTCGGCGTCCTCGTCATCCAGCACAGCTTTCGCGACCTCCGCCTTGACGACGATGGCCACGACACTAGCTGCGCTGCTCACGCCTGCAGCACCCTCGGCCGCGTCCACAGCTTCCACTACCGCGAGCCAGATGACATCTCCTGCCCCAACACCAGTCGGACTGTCCGCCGCAGCCGCTGCAGCGGTAGCGTCCGCGCCGACCCTCTTCAGCGCAATGGCCGTCGCCTCTGCCGCGAGCAGCCTCGACTGCTTCGGTGCGTCGTCGCCTCCACGCGTCGCTGCAGCCATCTTCTTTTGGCTTCCGACGTCGGATTACCTCACCACGAAGAAGAAGATTACCAAGAAGGCGCACCGGGAGCAACGAGCCGGTATGGCCATCTCTGTGGTTGGGGGCTGGGGCGCCACGCAAGCCACTGGCAGCGCCGCAGCCGTCGGGCAGTGTACCATAGATGAGCCTCATCAGGCTGCGTTTCATCGACAAGACCCCCGGCAGGCAGGAAGGTCAACGTGCCGCCCTACTCGCCACGCTCGTGGGGTACCCATGGGATGTCTGCATCAAGCATGACCAAGGCGCGCTCGTCTCCGTTGGCTGCCGCTTCGCGACTCCGCCGCCCGCCTCACAATGCTCGCAAATGTATGGCTGGTGAGTAGGCCTTGGCCCATCTACTGGAACAGGCTGACTACAAAAGAGGGGAACAACAGCTGGACGAGTCATTGAACCAGAACCGGAACCCGTCGTCTTCTTCCTTCCGTCAAGAGCCTTTCCTGCTGTACTGCTATTCTTGATATCTATCTCTGATCCTCGCTATTCCTAGTCTAAACTCTCTCTGATTCTCTAGAAACTGTATCAAGTTACTCTTGTATTTGTGATTGATAGTGGAGGTTCGTAACATTTCTTCCTCACGAATCACGCGGACGGCAGACGCGCCCAACGTCTTCGCCTCTTCGGCCTTCCTTCCTGGTTCCTGCGCGTGCTCCCAGTTCTCGCGTACAGGACATGCTTATGGGCCATTCAGTTTCAGGAGCAGCCATGGCTGGTGAGGAACGCCGGGTGTGGACCTTGGTGGGACAGAGCTAATAGTGCTACTTCTGAGCTGTTAAAGGCCATTGTTACGTCGTTTGCGTCTTCGCTAGGGAATTCTGGTTCCATTGCTAAGGCAGGTCGGTCTCCAGGCCTTATCTCCATAATCTAGTGAAAACTCCTTTCTTGATTGGTGAGACAGAGCTAATTATTCTACTTCTAAGACCTTAAGGCAAGGGGTTAATTACTGAATCATGTCGGGGGCTTGGATTCTTTGGAACCATCACAATCGCTGTGTTTTTGATGGAGCAGCTCCAAGCAATGCTTGGGCTTTAGCCATGGCTGATGAGGAAATGCCGGTTGTGGACCTTGACAGGGGCTCGAGGGCTATCTCTCTTGTCAGTCCACCTCCCAGAAGATTAGTTTCTTAGGTCTATGTGGGTCACCTCTCAGCCTGCTTAGGTGAGGCGTGTCTGCTGTGCTGTGTTGTGTGAGTGCGTAGTGTTGCGGTGTAAGGTGTAATTGTATTGGTTCTTTCACCCATTTTCTTTTTAAGAGCAAGGCTAATATTACAGCCGGCTGCTGGCTGTAAGGATCTTTGCAACCCATCTTTTAGCCCACTCGTATAGTAGTGAGCTCTTCACTATTAATACATGATTCACTTGTCTCTCTCACAAAGTTTCTTGGTTCTTGTGTCTAAGCCGAATGCAAACTTACAGCTTGCTTATCCTCTCTCTCATGTCCTCTCTCCTCCACCTCAGTGTTTAGCCTGCTTACAACGTGTTATTTTACTTGCTCTAATATAATGATGCGCAGATCTTCTGCTGTCAGAGATATGGGCTAGGGGTACCCACACCGCCCGTATATATGACCACCACCAAGCTATTGGCCCAGCAGCCATCAAGGAGGGGGCCCGTAAGGGCTGACGCGTTCAACCAACGTGGAGATCAAGGCAAACCAAAGTGGGTGTGTTTGGATGATAGCTAGGATCAATCTGTTATAATAAACTAGGAATACAATCTGTTAGCCCGAGTGCCCTCTCTGTAACCCTACCTCTCCTGCCTATATAAAGGAGGGTAGGGATCTCGGGCTCGAGATCCAATCTTCCACCTATTCCATCTACCTCGTAGCTAGGAGCAAGATCCCCTGTAATTGAGCATACGAATACAAGAATAGCCGCACCACTGGAGTAGGGATTAGCGTGCACCACGCCACGAACTAGTATAAATCTCTGTGTCTCGTGTGCGACCATCTGATTCCGTCTACGAGATCACGTTGCTAGGTATTGCTAGAGCAAAACAATTCGACAGTTGGCGCGCTAGGTAGGGGCCTTTCACATTCAGATTCGTTTTTGTGTTTCGGATGGTTATTCTCTGAAGGTCGAGTAAGGGTGTGATCAAGAGGCGGTCGAAGAAGGACGGCCATGGCACCGCCACCTCCGCGTGATCGAGGGTTCCACAACATGGCAACCTCAAGACTCGCGCGCTGGCCTCGATGTCATCATCGCCCAATCAGCTCTACGTCGCTAGGCTCGGGGACGTGATCGATGAAGGACCACTTCAGCTAGCACGTCACGTAAGTCACTACGCCGAGTCTACTTTTTCTCAATTCTGTCAGGAGTACCTCCTCGACACCGCATGCACGATCTGGTGGGAATCACACCATCTAGATGATGCACAACCATCGCCATCACTGGACGCTGTTTTACCTAGATTCTTTGACAGGCTCAAGAGCGCCACGATGGCACATGCCTGGGAACTCTTCCCGACGCCCGTGATCAACCCTAACAGCGCCAGGTCACCCCAGATAACGAAGAGAAATCACGGAACCAACTGGCAGAGCGCTAAGCGAAGCCAAAAGCTGAGTTATCGGGTAAATCTTAGCTATGCCATGAACCTTCCGTGTCAGAACCATGGATACCCGGTGGCTCATCTCACCAAAGATTGTAAGATGTATTGTGCGACAGCCGCCACTGCAACTTTCTCACGGGGCACCCCTCGAGGGGACAATCGATGGTGTAAGGGACACTCGAAACAAACCCTCAAACGAGTGATGACCATTCGTGCCCATACTGGGATCCGGTCAGATTCGGAACATACACCTGTTGTTTAGGAGGCTCACACCGCGGCACCCACGACGATGACCCAGTTACCCTGGTCAGAGCAACTCGAACACTCGGTCGACGTCGGTAGGTTCCCCCTGGTTGTCAGCGTAGTTCTCGAGACTGTCCATGCCACTAAGATCTTCTTGGAAGGAGGGAGTGATTCCAATATGATATATTGGGACACTTTCAAAAGACTAAAGATTGGCACAGACAAATTGCGCCCACCAAGAGGCCCGATCACCGAAATAGTACCAGGGAGACAGGTGATTCCTCTCGGTCTCATAGATCTACGGGTTACGTTCGATGAGGCGACGAACTTTCGCCAGGAGATACTCTCCTTTGAGGTTGTGGATTTCCAGGACACCTATCATGCCGTCCTCGGCATACCGTGTTTCGTCAAATTCATGGTTGTCCCTCACTACGCGTACCTCAAGATGAAAATGCTGGGTCCCAAAGGTATCATCATGATCTCTGGGGATCTTCAAAATGCCTATCAATGTGATCTACTCGCAATCGAGAACACGGTCTAAAACTTGGATCCGGCGCAGCGCGAGCTCGACTATGTCCTCATGCAAGGATATGGCTTGGGGGCTCCCATGCCAGCTCCACCGTGCCTCGATTTCCAGTCTCAACCTCCCAAAGAAAGGAGGCTACCACCAGCCCAGTTCACGGCCTCGGAGCCAACCGTGGCCCCATCATTCATGCCCGGGGAAGATTCAAGGAAGGTTCGCTTTGAGAAAACCAACCCGAGTAAGACCACGAACATCGGTAGGAGCCTGAACCAGGCACAACAGGATGAACCCGTCAAATTCCTAATTGTCAATCGAGACATATTCGCCCGGAAACCCTTAGATATGCTGGGAATCCCAAGGGAAATCACCGAGCTTTCCCTGAGAATCTGGGCCGACGCCAAGCCGGTCAAGCAACGCTTGAGACGGTTTGACGATGAAAGGTGTAGGGCTATAAAAGAAGAAATAGCCAAGCTCCTCGATGCAGGATTCATTAGGGAGGTCCTGCATGCAGACTGGCTTGCAAACCCCGGCCTGGTGCCCAAAAAGAACAACAAGTGGAGAATGTGTGTCGACTATACGAGCCTTAACAAGGCATGCACAAAGGATCCTTACCCCTTACCCCATATAGACGAGATCATCGACTCCACTGTAGGATCGAAATTACTCTGTTTCCTCGACGCTTACTCCGGTTATCATCAGATCCGGATGAAAGAGTCTGACCAACTAGCTACTTCATTCATCACCCTGATCGGAGCATACTGCTATGTCAACATGCCGTTCTGGGTGAAGAACGCGAGGGCTACATACCAGCGCTGCATGAAGCGCTGCCTCCACGAGCAGATCGGGAGAAATGTCAAGGCTTACATCGATGACATCATCATAAAGTCATCCAAAGCTAGGAACCTTATTCAAGATCTCTCGAAGACCTTCAATAACCTCCGAAAGTTCAAGATCAAGCTCAACCTAGAAAAGTGTACCTTTGGGGTATCATTTGGCAAATTGCTTGGCTACATCGTATCGGCTCGCATGATTGAGACCAATCTAATGAAGGTTAAAGCCATCCTCGATATGGGACCTCCTCGAGCATTAAGAGACGCCCAGAAGCTCATGGGATGTCTGGCTTCCTTAAGCCAGTTTATCTCTAGACTAGGCGAGAAGGGACTCCCCCTCTAAAAGCTCTTATGCAAGACGCTAGACTGGCAATGGACCCTGGAGGCTCAAAAAGCTTTCGATGATATCAAGGACTTCCTCACCAAACCCCCTATTCTAGTGGCTCCTCATGAAGAAGAGCCTCTACTCCTATATGTCGCAGCTACCACCTAGGTGGTCATAGTGGCTATAGTTATAGAGAGAAAGGATGAAGGCCACATTAAGACCATTCAACGACCGATATACTTCCTTAGTCAAATACTGGCCGAGAGCAAAACTCGCTACCCGCACATTCAAAAGAGACTCTATGGGGTGTACTTGGCAAAGAAGCTGGTTCACAACTTCGATGCACACCCAATTACTGTGGTCACCTCCTTCCCGCTAGGAGAGATCATTAACAATTGGGACGTGACCGGACAGATAGCTAAATGGGCCTTGGAACTTATGGCGTATGTCATCACTTATGTGCCACGCACTTCCATAAAATCCTAGGCTCTGGCGA